CCCGCCGGGGACGCGGCGGGGCCGGGCTGCGCGCACTGCTGTGGTGGCGGCGGCGGCGGCGCGGGCTCGGGCGGCTGCGGCGCTGGCACCGGCTGCGGCTGCTGCTCGCCGGCCCTCTGGCGCCCGCGGAGCGACCAGACGCACAGTGAACTGAGCATTGGACAGGGAGGCGGGGCGAGGGGGGGGCAGGGCCTCAAGGGCGGGGCCCGGGTGGAGGGGCCAACGTGATTGGACCAGAGGAGAAGATGAATGGAGGGGGAGGGCGTGATTGGGTAGGTGGAGGGAGGACGGGAGCTGATTGGGCTGAGGGGAGGGGCGGGGCCACGGCTAGGCGGACTCCGACCAAGCCTAGCTAGAGGAGGCGAGGTTGCTCAGCAAGCTCGGGGATTGGATCCTACTTAGAAGAGGGCGGGGCGTCAAGGGGACCCTAAAAATGCCTAACTCAGCAGCACGGCGAAAATGGAGACCTCGGAGCAAGGTATGAGAAAGAGCCAGGTGCGGTGGAGGCAGGGGGATCAGGCGGTCAAGGTCATGCTGCATAGTGAGATCGAGGCCAGCCTGGGCTACTTGATAGCTTTTCTTTCTTTCTTTTTTTTGGGGAACCACAGTAGGAGAAGCTAACAAAAAGAAATCAAATGGTCACTCGCCTAAGCCCTGGCAGGCAGGACTCAAGAAATGATTAACAGTCCTTATTGGGCCAGGACAGTAAGGAGGAGGGTCTCACCTGGGGTGCACCGGAACTGGAGGAGGAGATGGAATTCGATTAAATAAATAAATAAATAAGAACAGGAGATAGGCGACACGGAAGATACTGGGACGCAGTGGTAAGAGATGGAAGGAGAGGCCTGGGAATTTCTGGATGAAAGCTAGGGGAGGCAGAGGCTGTAAGCCATGGAGTCCAGAGAGGCCTGAGGTTCGCTGTCCTCCTGCCTCAGCCTCCCGAATAGCTGAGATGGCAGGTGAGCACCGCCAGACCCTGGAGGTTGCAAACTTGGACTTCGTTAGAAGGGGCTGGACCTGGAAGAAGAGGGTTGCGGATGGTTGGGAAGAGACACAGGCAGGTGGGCGGGGTCTCTAGGGGGTAGGAAACATATTCAGTAGTGCGGAGGAAGACGAGGTGAGTGGATGGCAAAGTGGGACACCGAAAACGAGCCTTTAGAGCGCCAGGAGCCGGCTGGTGGCATGGAGGACGGGAAATAAGACACCTATTAGGGGAAGGACACTGCTGGACACGGGGTGCGGGTGGGCTGGAATAGAGATTCCGTGTCAGAGGCCCAGGAGGACAGTCCACGAAGCCTTGGGGGAAGGGGCAAAGGTTTCCAGCTTGTGGAGGAAAGGGAATGAGGCGTAGACCACAAAGATTACAGGCAGCAGGGCCAAAAGATAGGTAAAGGAGTGGGCACCAGGGCATGCAGAGAGGGGCACTGCCGGGAGCGCAGCCAATAGCTTCTCAAGCATAGGTTTAAGTGGAACCAATGGGAAGGGGCGGGCCTACGGAGGAAGAAGGGAGAACCGGACCCGGACCGCACACCTTCTAGAGGGCAGGCCCCGCCCCGTGGGCGGGCCTAGGCGTAGGGACGGCAGTGCGCAAGCGCAGTGGCTGCGGCTGGGGCTGCAGCCAGAGCAGGCGCTTGCAGGAGCGAAGAGGGCGGGTCACGGGCTGCGGCTGCGGCTGCGGCGGTCGCTGGCGCGTCGCCTCCCTCTGCAGGCGCCACGCGGGTTCGTATTTTCATCTCCAGCCCCGTACCCGCTTATGTGTGTCACCTTTTCTCCGTTGTCCTCCCACCTGTCCCCACCACTCTGGGTATCTGGTTCCTCTTTTCTAAGTCTCCGTTCTTCCATTTCGGTCTGTCTCTCGGTATGAGTTTCAGCTTTCTCTTTGGGTCTTTCTCATCTTCCTCCACTGGGTCTCAGTCCCTCTCTCTAGGTCACTTATCTCTCCCTCTGGGTCTATGCATATCTCTCTCTGGGATTTTGGCACCCCCTGCCCCGTCTCTGTCTCTCACTGAGTCTCTATCCCCACCTTTTTCTTCCCCACCCCTCCCTGGGCCTCTGTTTCTCTCACAGGGTCTCTGCGCCCCACTTCCCCAGGGTCTTGTTTCCTCTGTGTCTCTGGTTGTCTTGGTCTTGTCTTGGACTCTGTCTCTCTGTGGGTCTCTGTCTCCCTCTCCTGGTTCTTGGCTCCTCTGTTTCTGGGTTCCTTACCCTAGTGTAGCCCCATCCTGGCAGTGGTTAAGTCTGTGTCATTGTAGCGTTGCAGAAGTGGGGCCAGCCTGTCGTGCCACCCAGGAGTGAGTCCTCACCCTCCACAGACCCTGGGACCCCCTCTTCTGGAGCCTTCACGACTCTGAGGGACCCACCAGGGCAGAAAATGGAGGCACTCACTCACTCACTGTGCACTCATAACTCTGGCATATCACGGAGAGAAGCTGTGACTTGCTGTAAGGGGTTGGGTGGGCCCCAGGTCCGTTGTGAATAGGGCTGCGTGCTGGTGCACGGTTTGGGAATGCAGCAGCGGCTGGACCTAATGCACAGTCCTCCTTACACCTCACATCCACCCTGACGGCCTGATTGGGACAGCAGACAGACACTGGATTCAGTCCCCCAAATAAATCAGTGTCCTGTTTTGTTTTGTTTACCCCGAAAGATTAGAAGGTGGGGGTGAGGTGGAGGCTGGCGAGGGAGGAAACAGAGAGAAGACTCTAACAGGGGTTAGAGGTGGGGATAAAGAGCAGCCAACAGTGGGACACTCATGGAGCCCTGGAAACTTGGGTGTGGTCGTCCCTCCCATAGCCTCACCAGAGCGGGGTTGTCACTAGAGAACTACTTTCCTTCAGCCAGAGACTGGGTGGGGCTCCCATCACAGGACACCCAGAATCAAGGCTGAGTTGCTCATTTCTGGAGACTTTTTTTTTCTCAGTCCTGGTCCACTGCATCCATAGTCATTCTTTCCCCAGACACGTTCTGTCACCTCTGCCATCCCTCCCGCTGTCCCCTCCCTTACTTCCAAGGCCAGGTCAGTAGGACCAGCCTTCCCCTCCTGGACTGCTAAGATTCCTTTCTGCTCCGACCCCTACACCCCACCCATCAATGCAAAATCCAGGGAGAGTCTTAGTAAAACAGAGACTGTGAAGAGTCACAGCAAAAGACCCCAATACACAGAGAGACACAGCCAGGCTGTGGTGGCGCATGTCTTTAATCCCAATCCTCTGGAAGCAGAGGCAGCTGGATCTCTCTGAATTCGAGGCCAGACTAGTCCACAGAGCGAGTTCCAGGACAGCCAGGGGTCACACGGAGAAAACTCTGTCTCGAAAAACCAAAACAAACAAGCAAGCAAAACGACTCCACACGCAAGTATCTTGCCCCTCCCCTTTCAAAGCTCAGAGTCTGGGTGATCCTTCCGCTGCAAGCTTTGGTCTCCCGTCCCGTCCCCTGTCTCACAAGCTGAGCTGCAGACTGTCTTCCCGCCCCGAGAGCTTGAGCCTCCGCCCCCTCCCCCGAACTCACCCCAAGTTTCGGTGAGGAGGAGACAGGAGGAATCTGGCGGTGGAGGAGGGCTGACTGAGTCCCGGAATCTCTGAGCGGCCTGTGACAACGGAGGAGGGACAGCCCTGCTTCCCACGACCCAGGTCTACGGGCTCCGCCTCTACGGCAGGCCCGGGGGTCCTGGAATCCCCAGAGGGAGGGTAGGACGCACAAGGTCCGCAGGACGGTGAGCTCGCTCCGTAGAACCAGGACTGGAGAACCCTTAACGTTTTCACCACCGCGGCCACCTGTTGCTGTCATCGCGACGCCCGCGGGGAGAGGACTACAAAGTCCGTGATGCTCCGCGTTGTGCGGGCCAGAAGCTTCGCGGGGGGTTGTTCCCGGACCTCTCTCACGGGCGCGCGCACGGCAGAATAGGATGCTTCCCTTCCCTCCCCTCTCTTCCTCAACTCCAGACACTCATTTCCCCTACCCGAAAGTTACCCAAGCGGGTTCCTTAAATGGAAAGTGGATTTTTTTTTTTTTTTTCATTGGAAAAAAACATAGCCTCTGTGGCTCTTGTGGGAATGTACCCTAACCGGGGCGTCCTCAGAGGAACTGTGCCTGCGTAGCTCCTCCTGCCGGTCTGGTTGCTCGAGGCTGAGCACGCGCCAGACCCACGCGGGGGCCGTTGTTTTTGTCCCCTCGGTCGAAGACGGCCACGTAGGACCCCAAAAAGACGTCCCCGAGGATCCAGAAGGGTCCTTCAGGCTTCGGGATATCCAAGGCCTGGAAGCCCAACAGGCAGAGGCCAACATCGCTCTGAAAAATCTGCAAGGTGACAACACGGGGGACATTGTGTGTCACGGGGTTCCGGGTTTGATTTGTACCCAGAAGAGGACAAGCAGTGTTTGTAGCTGGGCATGGTGCTACCAGCCAGCGATGCCAGCCCTCCAGAGATTCAGGCAGGAGGGTGGCGCGTGGGGTGGGGAGGGGAGTAGGAGGGTTCAAGGCCAGCCTGGGCTACATACTTAAACCTCATGAAAGAAAGAAAGATATAGAGAGGAAGGAAGGAGGAAGGAAGGAAGAGAAGAACGGAAGGAAGGCGCTCCGCTGGTAAAGGTGCTTGCTGCTAAGTCTGTCGACCGAGTTCCGTCCTCAGACTGCACACAGTAAGAGAAAGTCAGTTCCTTTGAATTGTCTTCCGACTTGTACACAAGTGCATTGTGCACACAAAAATAATCTTTTTTGAAAAGTAGAAAAGGAAAGGCAACGTTCAGCCTGGGTGTACTGGCACAGGCCTTTAATCCCAGCACTTCAGAAGCAGAGGCAGGAGGATCTCTGCATATGAGGTCAGCCCAGTCTATGGTAATAATTCTAGGTCTGCCAAAGCTACACTGTGAGACCCTGTCTAAAGGCAAAGTTCCTGTGTTGGATTCCCAGCTTGGTGAAGTCAGAGCCCCGGCTCCATCCTCTCAAGCTCAGTTTTGTTGCTCTGATGTCAATATGGCAGCTGCCTTACCTTGATGACGTACTCCTGGCCTGTGAGGTTAAACCACGCTCCGCCAAGGCGGAAGGAGACAGTGGGAAGCTCTGGGATTTTGGAACACTGAATGAGATACTGCAGAAGAAGAGGAAGAGTGAAGGTAGGCAGGTGACTCTTGCTCGCCAGTGCCCTCGAGCACAGCTTATATTAGGCAGTCAGGTATTCTGGGCCTCCTGTACAAAGGCTTGTTCTGTAGGCTTCTATTAAGTCCACATTTCTCTCCCCAATCCACCTGGAAAGCGCGCTGCTTCCCCCTACTGCCTTCTACCTCATCACTCAGCCCTCCGGTCCCACCTGCCCTTTTTCTTACCTCCTGGTTACCTGTTTTTGTTGTGTAGGCAGCAGCTTCCCACCCAAAGTCTACCACCAAGCCCTCCGCCCCTCCGAAGAATATTGGCCAGAACCAGGAGTGGGCCTCACCTGCCCAGTCAGGAGGGGAAATCCCCCAATGGCCTTATTCAAGGCCCGGATCTCCTCACTAGTTCCTGTGATGAGGGATGTGCCTGTGTCCAGGATGGCACCACAACCCTGGGCACAGAGACTCAACCCTGTGCCAACCTTCACACTGTGAGGGAAGGATAGGGCAGGGGCTGTCATCGGAGGTAGGGCCTGGGCGTCCACACCCTCAGCTCGAGCACCCCGAGGCCAGGCTCCTCACCTCTCCATGTGGACTTGCCAGTAGGCAGGGATGGTGACTGGTATGAAGGTGAGGGGGGGTATGTAGTGAGCTGGGTCTGAGCCCCCCAGGACCAGCTCTCCCCCGTCAGACCCTTCAGAGTCCCTGCAGAGGCAAAGTGCAGTGAGAGGCTGGTGTTTTATCTGTTGGTGCCAGAGGTGAGCCAAGGTGGCACGGTCTGCCAGCTGGCTTCTAGGTGGGCGGGCTGGCTAGTTTTATGTCAACTTAACACCAGCTTAGAGTGACTGGAGAGTAGGAAACCTCAGCTGACAAAGTACCTTGATAAGATCAGGTTATCAGCAGTCCTGTAGGGCATTTTCTTTATTAGTGATTGATGTGAGAGGGTGAAGCCTATTGTGGGTGGGGTCCCCTCTGGGCAGGGGTTCTGGGGTAATCTAAGAAAGCAGGCCAGCAAGCCACAGGGAACAAGCCAGTAAGCAGCACCCCTCCATGGCCTCTGTGTCAATTCCTGCCTCCAGGTTTGTGCCTGTGCTGGTTTGAAATAAAAGGGCCCCATAGGTTCATAGTGAGTGATACTTTTAGGAGGTGTGGCCTTGTTGAGCTGTGTCACTAGGGGGTGGGCTTTGAGACTCAGAAGCTCAAGCCAAGCCTGTCATTTGCTCTGCCTTCCAATCAAGATGTAGAACTCTCAGCTCCTTCTCCAGCACCATGTCTGTCTGCATGCTACCATGCTTCCCACCATGACAATGATGGACTAAACCTCTAAAACTGTGAGCCAGCCCCAAATAAATTCACGGTGTCTCTTCACACCAATAGAAACCCCAACTGAAATGCTGCCCTGTTTGAGTCCCTGTCCCAACTTCCTTCAGTGATGACCAGTGATTCAGAAGCACGAGCCAATTAAACCCTTTCCTCCCTAACTTGCTTTTGGTCATAGTGGGTTTTTTTTTGGGGGGGGGAATAGGGAGTTGTTTTGTTTTGTTTTGGAGACATGGTTTCTCTGTGTAGCCTTGGCTGTAATGGAACTCGATCTGTAGACCAGGCTGGTCTCGAACTTTAAGAGATCTGTGTGCGTCTGCCTCCCAAGCGCTGGGATTAAAGACATGCACGACCACCTGGGGTTTTATCATAGCAATGGTAATCCTAGCCAAGACAGTGGGGTTGTGTGGGCAGGTCCCAGATAGGGAGAATGGAAGAAGACAAGGATGATCTTGAACTTCTGATCCTCCTGCTTCCACCTCCCAAGTGCTGAGATGACAGCATGCACCACCATGCTTGGTTGGGGGGGGGAGGCTTTTTGAATATAAAGTTGCACCTCCTAAAGGCTGGTGAGTAAAAGATCCTCGCTCCGGGCGGGACTCTGCAGCGGAGGGTGGGCTGTCTTTGGGGTGAGGCAAGGGCCCCAAAGTGGAGTACTTGTCGAATGTGCATGGAATTTTCTGTTTGATTTCAAAGCCTGGGGCCTTGTGAGCCCAGGGTGAGTGTTGTTGGTATGCCTCACTTAGGTTGTGGGGTTTCTTGTGTTTCTGTATTGGGTAAGCACTTTCCTGAATGCCGGTGGAAGCCCTTGTGTTGGGAGGCTGACTTCCTTCAAGGACCAATGGACTTCCTGTGTTGATGATGGGATTTCCTGAAGGAAATTTCTTGGGGCTGGAGTTGAGACTGTGTGCCAAGCCAAGCAGCCGCCATCGTGAAAGTTTAGCCGTGCCCTGTTGCAAAAGCTCATGCCAGCTGGGCTTGCTGACTGACTGCACCCCTTCATAGCGTGAGGAGGGCCATCTGAGCATCCAGCTGCTCCCTCCCGGGCAGCTCTGCTCACTTGTTCATGGCCTGGGGGAGTGTGTAGGCTAGGGAAGACTAGGGGAGGTTACATCTATGGAGTTACAGGGACTCCCTCATCTCTGCTGGGTAGAGGCTTTTCGGGCACAGCCTTTTAGGGAGAGGAACACCTCACCTATGCTCTGCAAGATGCCAAATGAAGCCGTTGGTCCCCCAGAGGAAACTGTGGTGGAAGGGTGCTTAGGTATTGGGAGCTAAGGAGGAGGTGGATGCCCTGGGGGAGGGCATTTTCGCAATAGCTGCACTCTCAGGCACAGAGACAACTCGCACACAGTACCTGTTGAGGTAGAAGGAGAAGACGAGTTTCTCCAGCAGTCCCTGCTCCACTAGTGTGTCCAGCGGAGGCTGAACTCCTCCCACAGCTAGAGTCGGGAAACCGAGGCCCAGAATCCCATCAAAATGGGCAAACGCGAAGACCAGGCTAGGCTCCCACAGAGCCTCTCCAAATATCACAGAGGCGCCGTGGATTCCCCCGATCTAGGAGAGAGTTGAAGTGGGACCAGTTACCTCTAGGAAAGACAGTACCCTCCTATGGCTGAGATCCTGCTTGGAAACTTCGGGGAAAGAATCTAGATCCATCCCCACCCCTTCCCTAGAAGCCACACACGTTTGCTCAAGGGAATCCACCCCTCCACCCAGGAAGCTCCACTTCTGGGGAGGCCATGCCTATTTGCAAAGGCAGCCTCTCAGATGTCCCACCCCTTCACAAGAGGCCCCGCCCCTTCACAAGAAGCCCCCTCCTCTTGTTAAGGAGACCCCATCTCTTCCCTAGTAACCCTAGCTCCTTCCCCAGGAGACCCCGCCTTTTTCTAAGAAGCTCCACCCCTGTCCAGGAGACTTCCTCCACTCCGACCTCAGTCACCCCATCTCTAGGAGAACCCCACCTCTTCTCAATAATCCCTCCCCCGCTCCCATCAGGGCCTGCCTCCTCAAACCCTTCTCTGAACTAGGTGGTGGTACATCCTGGGTTCTAAACTGAAAGTCTTGTGTGGCCGAAGTCACCCACAGTCAGATCATCCTGGCTCAAGATTCCGTTCAGCCGTCCGGTCCCATAGCGAATGGCAAACTTGGTCCCGTTGGGCCGAAAGGAGCTGGAGGCCTTGGGGTTGAAACGATGGTGAAACCCTAATTCAGTTCGGGAGACAGGCATCACTCAGGAAATGGGAAACAGCCGAGGGGATACTGAGCCCAAGCCCCTCTTCTCCCGTCACCCCTTTTGGCCTGTTCCCCAGGAAAGCTCACAGCAGGCCAAACTGAAGAAATGACATCTCGAGGATGGGACCCAGAAGTTGGAAGAACCCGTGTCAAAGACAACAGTGAAGTTCTGAGGAGGTGTTCCCAGACCAATGTCTCCAAAGTACTGGACCTGGTGGCACAAGAGAACACAGAGCAAATGAGGAGCTGAATATTCTGCCGCAAGGGCGGGAACATGGTGGCTGGGACTCACATTCATGAACTTGGACAGAGGCACAAAGGAGCGCTCGTCACCAGAGGCGGAGGTGCTAGGAGGCTGTCCCCATCCATTCAGTGGGCTTAAGAACCTGTGTCCAGGATGGACTCGGCGAAGAGGAACTCTAGAGAGAGAGGGAGTTTGGGCAATGAAAAAACCATAGGTCCAGCAGACCTTCGTGTGCTAGACGCCCTGCACAGATGCTGAAGGTCCCTGAGGTCCTGCAGTAGCAGTCACTGACTACAGCTCCACAGTGACCAGGAAGTGCTGCCGAGGGCAGCTTCACCGCCGTACAAAAAAAGCTATCCCCAGTGTATAGACTCAAAGGCCTGCCAACATCCGAGTGCCTTAAGGTAAGCTGTTCCCCAGGAACTGGCATTCCCAGCAAGTTCCAAAGACTGAAGAAAAAAAAGTTGATGGGAAGGGAAGCAGGAGAGATGGCTCAGTGGTTAAGAACACTTGGGGAGCCTGGTGATGGTGACACACACCTTTAATTCCAGCACTCAGGGAGGCAGAGGCAGGTGGGTCTCTGTGAGTTCAAGGCCAGCCTGGTCTGCAGAGTGAGTCCAGGACAGGCAAGGCTACACAGAGAAACCCTGTCTCAAAAAACAAAAGCAAAACAAAATACAAACAAACAAACAAAAAAAAAACCAACCCAGAGCCCTTAGGGGAGGCTCACAGAGACTGAATCACCAGTCAAAAGTCAAAGGGCAGCCATGGGCTGGACCTAGGCCCCTACACGTATGTAGCAGATGTGCAGCTTGGTCAGCATGTGGGTTCCCTAACAATGGGAGAAGAGGCTGTCTCTGACTCTGCTGCCTGCCACTGGATCTCTTCCCCCTAGCTGGGCTCCTTATCAGGCCTCTGTGGGAGAGCATGAGCTTAAGTCCTGATGACTTGAGGTGCCAGGGTGGGTTGGTACTCACGGGGGCTCCTTCTCTGAGACAGAGAGGGGGGAATAGGGGAAGGGACGGGAAGGTGGGACTGTGAGGAGAGGAAGGAGGGGGCTGGGATCAGGCAGCAAAGTGATTAAATAAATAAATGAAAACAAAACAGAACAAAAACCCAAATGCTTGGGGATCTAGCAGAGAACCTTGGGTGGTTTACAACCACCTTATATAACCATTATATATATATATATATATATATATATATATATATATATATATATA